CTGATCCCTCCCCAACCCACTCTGCTAGAATTACTTGAGAGGAAATGACTGAAAATAGGAGGAAGACAGAGCTGCCCCAGCCCACCATGGTCACAGCCTTTAAGCCCCATCCCCTTCCATCTGGCCAGACCCTGACCGCAGAGGAAGAAAAGCTACTGAGTGTTTCCCTCCTCTTCTAGCAGAGGGTTGGAAGAGGGCCTCTGGTCCCCAGGCCTGGCCTTTCCAAACACCCTGTCTCCCACGTACCTTTTGTTTGTTCTTGGGGCAGAGCCGAGTCATTGCTGTGGACAAGGGAGAAGCCGCCATCTGCCTGGCCCATGAGAATGCTCAGAGGTAGGGGGGCTTGGGGGAAGAGGGTCAGGGTAGGGGGAGTCAGACTTTGGGGCCTGATCTCAACCTCTATCTGGGTATCAAACCCGCCGATGTCCACCCCCAAGAAGGAGGAGGCAGTGGGGGAGGCCTGGTGTAGGTCCCACAGGGTTACAAATGGACAATGGACACCAGGTATCTTACTGGTCCAAGAAGGGTTTATTCTCCCATTCTTTGTAGCCAAGGGTAGGAGTCTGTCCCCACCCCTGCTCCCACCCCCTCTCCCCGTCCCCATGCTCACCTTTACCTTCCTATCTCTCCAGGCTTCGGTTGCAGGACAGGATTCGGATCATCCCCTTCGATGTGACCTTAGGTACTTTCCCCACCCATCTTCCCTGGGTGGGGATCCTGGGTCCAGATGCTGATGGGTGGATGAAGCACTCTGCAGAGATAGAGGGTTGGCTTACACACACACACACACACACACACACACACACACACACACCCCTTCACACACCCCTTCACACACCCCTTCCCCACCCCCAATCTTTGCTGAGGACAGGCAAGTCCCTGTTGCCTCCTGGGCTGACCTGACCCATGAAGGGACCAGCCACAGGATCTTTCTTACCTTTCGTATCCCCCATAATTAATGAATTTAACTAGGGCTTGTTTGTTGTCAAGAAGTAAGCAGAAGCTCAAGAGATAGCCTTTGGGACCAAAATACTTGAGTGTCTGCCTGCCCCCGCCTGGCCCAGGCACAGCATGACTTGGCTGCATCCTTTACAGAGTGCCCTCAGAGTTCTGGCTCCAGCTCTGGCTCTATCACATGCCCACAGCATCCTTGAGCTTCATGTGCCCCCTCCGTGGAGTGTGATACCTGGTGCAGGGTGGGGCCAGTAGGAATCAACTGACTGAGGCCAGGCTTGCCCTCTATACACTCAGTCCATGTTGGCTTTGAGGCAGAGTGTGGCAAGGCCAGCGGGGTGGCAGAGAACAGAGGCGCTTGCTTTGTCAGGCAATCAGAGACGGCTGCCTGAAAGTGGCACTTGATCTGAGTCTTGCTTATTGAGGAGGTTTTTGATAGGAAGAAGAGAAGGCCAGGACACTCCGTGGGGAGAACTGCCACGTCAGAGCATACACACTACCAGCCAGGCTGCTGGCTGGGGACACTGGGCACTAATCTACAAGTCTAGTTTATTGGGTCCAGAGATAGGCCTAAGTTGTGGCTTGGGGAGAGGGATTTACCCAAGGGACATAGCAGCTTCCACCCTTTACCTCCCATTCTCTGCTGTGTGTTCCCTTTGACCACAGAGGGGAGCTGGGCACATCTTCTACCTTGGGGCCCTGTGGACCTGGTCGTCAGCAACCCTCCCTACGTCTTCCACCGGGACATGGAGAAGCTGGCCCCTGAGATCCTCAGGTGTGGGGTAGACCAGGGAGGCCAGGCCTGAGAAGGCCTAATGGGATGGGTCTGCCCTGGAGGACCATACTTTCGAGAGGGATGGGGAGGCTGGGGGGCTGAACGGGGCAGTGGTGTTGAAAGAGAGGCTCACTCTGGAACCCACAGACCTACTTTGGTTCAGCATCTGCCTTCCCACTTAAGACCACTGAACCTCTCTGAGCCTCAGTTTCCTGCCTCTGAAAGGAGAGTGGTAGAGCTTTGCTGGGCCATGGGGAGGACTCACTAATGACTAAAATATCAGACTACAGTATACAACACATAGAAGGTGGTCAGATGGGTGCATCATTTTCCAGAAGACTGAGGCCCAGAGAGGGAAGGGACCTTGTCCAAGATTGTGTGGGGGCTTAGCAGGAAAGCTGGGACTAAGACTCTACTCCAGGCTTTGCACTGAACCATCCTGTTCTCAAACGGTCTGAGAACCAGGGGTAGCCCAGCAGCCTCTGGATGAGGCAGTGGTAGTGAGTGTCAGGGTGCTGGCTTCCAAATTCTTGGCTCTCAGGAGTGGTCAGGGCCAGCTCTATGCCTCCCCAAGCCAAGAATAGGAATATCCTTGTGGGGAGACCCTCATGCCCTGGGGGTAGTCAGTCAATGGGATTCGCTGAGCATGCCCAGCACTGCCTGGTAGGGGGCTGCCTGTATGAGGTAGGGGAATCGGAGCTGCCATCATTCGGGGTCCTCAGACTTTCTTCTCAGCCCAGAGTGTAAGTTCCACAGAGCCTTCTTTGTGGAAGTCCTGGTCAGCTTCTCCATACTTTTCAGATACCCCAGGCCCTTAGCTCTCACTGTTTTCCCCTTCAGCTATGAAGATCCACTAGCCCTGGACGGTGGGGAGGAGGGCATGGACATCATTACCCACATCCTTGCCCTGGCACCTCGGCTCCTGAAGGACTCTGGGTATGGATGGGGTGTCTCCTGAGTCTGACCTCAACAGCCTCCTCCCCTCCCAGTATGTACTGGGCCTGCCCTGGGTGTCATTCTGCCTCCACCCCTCCCAGCTGGGACAACCCAGAAATGCAGGTCCAGCCCTGCCCAGCTGAGCTGACCCATTTCTCCCCCACCCAGAAGCATCTTCTTGGAAGTGGACCCAAGACACCCAGAGCTCGTCGGCAGCTGGCTTCAGAGCCAGCCTGACCTGTCCCTCAATCTTGTGGCTGTGCGCAGGGACTTCTGTGGGAGGTGAGACTCTACCCTGCCCCCAGTCCCCACAGCCATGCTGGTCCTTCCACTCAGACTATCACAGCTCTGGCTGTGGGGCAAGTGTGCGGTTCCCACCCCCTGCTCATTCCCCAGGGCCCAGGCAGTAACTGGCCCCTTGTCCCTGTCTCCTTAGGCCTCGGTTCCTACATATCAGGAGGTGTGGGCCACAGCATGGTTGCCCTGTGGATGCCTGGCCAGGGCCCCAACCTGCCAGAGTGCCTGGCTGACATTTCTACCTGGAATGCTACTTGGAGGGAGGTGGATGGTGCCTTCCAGAACCCCAGATGTTTGTGGCATTTCCCATGGCTCTGTGATTCTCCATGCTCTACATTTCTAGGAGACTTAGGAGTAGGCACAAGGGCCGGGGTGTCCTTCCTGGGCCAGCAAAGAGCAAGAGCACTCACAATCCAGCTTAGGAGCTCAGCAGACTGGATTCCCAGTCTGGCCCCATCGTGTCAGTGTAGCCAAGGCAGGTTGCTGTGTCTCTGTGGGTGGAATTGCTCTAGGGATGTTGGGAGATACGGCCAATAAAGTGGCGAGAGACCAGCAAGTGGTGACCTAATGTTTTGTTATTGTGATTTGTGGGTCCCCTGACCCCTTGCCCTTAGGCAGTGCTGGGGGTAAGAGCTTCCTTCTGCCTTTGCAGGGCTGGCTGGCAGGCCCCAGCTGGTGGTGTGGGGAGCAGTGTGGAGAAAGGCACATGGCTGCTCCTTTTGGCCTTGGAAGCCAAGGTACTTGGCACTGATCAGCTCCCTCACAAGGGCTGGCGTAGCACTCAACATACACTCCCCTAACTGGGCCTAAGCTCTGAGCGCAGGAATGTCGTCTGAGCTTGAGCTTGGGGATGGCAGCCTGCTTCCTGGTGGGGATGGGGCTGAGGGGCCTTGCACAGTTCTGGGGTCACATGTACACGTTCATTTAAGTGAAAGCTTGAGCCAGTGAGGGGTGAACAGGGCTTGTGTTTACTTTTTATTCCCATAGTTTTGAGCTAAAACATTCCTTCCAAGCCTTGGGATTTCTGAAAACCCATCTGTCCCTGGTTGGAGCTGGGGAGAGTGAGAAGCTGAGACAGAGTGGGCACCAGGTTTTGACCTCCACCCTAGCTCTGGTCTGCAGGCTGGTGGCTGCCGGGAGGCCCAAAGGCCCTTCTGTCCACAGCGACAGGAAACCTCCAGGTTGGCAGGTGCTGGTGTTAGCCTGCATCAAGGTGGGTCTCAAGGAACATGGCAGACTAGGCTGACTCATTCTGTTGGTCTCCCCTCCCATCCCCCCAACCCAGCACTTTCAGAGGCCTGACCTGGTGATGCAGTGGCCAGAGGCAGTGTGTCTGGTAGACAGCATCCTCTGATGGAGCCACGATGCTGGGTTCTAGAGCTGTGTCTTGCAGTGGGACCTTGGGCAGCTCCCTTCCCTGTGAGAAGCTGGCTTTTCTGGCTCCAAGGCCAGTGCAATTAGGCAACCTCATTTTAATCTCAGTCAGTCAGGTAAAGTATGTAGCTGGTATTCAAGGGCCCACTCCCTAGGCAGGGACTCCACAACAGAAGACATGGTCTGCCTGAGGTCCCATGATGAGAGGAGGCCAAATGGAGATAGGAAGTTAGGTCCCTGCCTTGGGAGAGTCTGTATTGCTGGAGTCATACCTGGCCTCAGCTACTCCCTCGCTGTGGTTGGGGGTTGTATTTGCCTTAGCAGAGGCCACATTGCACTTCCCAGGGCTACCGTATCCTGCTCCTTGCCCAGACCCAGCTGCATGGACCTCAAGCCGCCCATGGCTTCCTTTGAGGAGGAGCCAGGGACTCCCAGCCATGGTTGTTCCAAAAGGAACCTGGAAAGGCGGCGTGGGCTTTCAGAGCCCCCGTGTGCTCTCAGATCTCGGCCCGCCTCACCAGTATTGCCCTTCCTCTCCTCCTACCTGTGTCCTTGGGCTCTTGCTCTCTTCGCAGCATCTCAGGGTAGCTGCCCTGACCTAGCAGTCTGTTGCCTCCTTGTCCCACACCTCAACCACTGATGGCTTCCCTGATGGTCTCACCCTCCTGGCTTCAGGCCTTGGCAAGCATGTGGATATGGCTCCCCAAGAGTACATAATAATGGGGAGTGACAGTGTAGGCGTAGTTGGGGTCACTGAAGCAGGAGGCACCCTTGGGGACAACTTCCTCCCATGAGGCCTGACTCCCCTGAGAAAGAGGTACAGGCCAAGTGGACTGGCAGGGCCGGGCTTCAAGCCTGCAGCCACTGGCTTGACGGGGACTTGGACGTTAAGCTCCAGTGTTGGAGCCACACCAGCCTGGGTGCAGATCCTGGCATCTGCCCCTCACTAGGGTATGTCCTCGGGTAGATGACTTCAACTCTGTCAGCCTTGGCTTCTAAGTCTGAGAAATGGGACCAAGTGCTTTCTTTATCTTAATATGATGATTTTGAAGAGACCGTGGGCTGTACCTTTCATGGGGCACTGTGAACATTTTCACTGCTTGCCTTGGAGGGCAGACATAAGGAGGATCCTGTACCCTCATGTGTGTGTCTTGTGGTTGGCACCAACACGAGTCAGGCAGAGACATGGCAGTCTGGAAAAAAGGGAAGGCAGGGATTTCAGTCTTGGGCTCTTGACTTCTCTGCCCTCTGGAGATGGAGCCACCAAGAGGCTGGTAGCCTGGCAGCCAGATCTCCCCTCAGTCCCTCCTTTCCCTCTTCACCAGGGCCTGAGTGCCCCAAGGTCCAGGCCAGAGCAGCCTGTGGCTCCAGCCCAGGGAAAGCCAGTCTCACCTGCCCTGTCTCCTCCCTCCTTACTGGGGCCAGAGCAGAGATGAGCTGCCTCCTTTAGCATGTGTCATGGAGCCCAGGAGACAGAACAGCAGGAGGATGTGGGGCTGACGGTGGAGTCCAGGCTCTACAGGCCCTTGAGGTCTTGAGGGATGTGCCTGATGTCCACCCAGCCTCTGTCAGCTGGAGCCCCAAGCGTGGGCAAAGGGTGTAGGAGTCCCTGATGGATGTACTCTGGAAGAGCAATTACATCTCCTCTTCTGACAGTTGAGGAAACTGACACTTTGCCTCAAGTTGTATGCTTTTCCCAGCTGCCCATGGCTCTTTCCATGGGGCCCATCTAGCTGCTTTATTGACATGTACCCTTTCTGTTCTCCCCTAACCCCACCTGGACCCTGGGCCATTAACTTCTCCCAATCCCTGCTCTAAACCCTTGGCTGGCTCCCCATGACCTGAATGTGGTCTCCGTGTCCTGCAGAGTCCAGATCTGAAGAGGTAGGGGAGGATGACTATGGGAAGGGTCTTGGGGAGCCCTCCCAAAGCCTCATCAGTGCTCTGAGTAAGCTTCCATCAGAACAAAGTATTCCACTGCTGACTGGCTTTGAGAACTGCTTTAACCTATGTAGGCCAGCATGTCCCTCCCTGTCCATCTTTGGATTCTTTCTTCCACTGCCCTAGACTCCAGCTTCCCTGCAGAACTCTCCATTCCTCAAACACCCCTCCTTCCCTTTGCTCAGGCTGTGCATTCATCAGAAATGCTCTTGCCCACCACTTCTAGTCCAGATAATCCTCTCCTTCAGGCTCCAACACAAATGCTCTCTCCTCTGGACCACCCGTCTGACCTCTGGGTTCTCCCCACCAGACCCTAGCCCACTTTTTCCAGTAGCAATGACATTCTGTCTCATGCATTTGGAAGCCTTCCTGTCTCTGTCTTCTCTCTGGGGTCCCATGTGGGTCTAGCATACACTAAGCTCAGTAAATGTCCACCAGTAAGCCAACAGTGTATGCGTTTTCTAGAATGGAGCTGGAATTTCCCATGTGGCTCACATCGTACCTGACAGCAGCTCTCACATATTCTGGTCAGCAGGGAGAAGAAGCTATGAGGGCTTAGCCTCCCACCCGAGCCAGGCAGCAGTTCAAGTTGAGCCATAGCCACTTCTTGGGCTACAGTGCACCTGATCTCTGCACAGTGGCCACGCCGAGTACAGGCCGTCCTTTCTGCAGCAGGGGCAGGCGCCAGGTTTCCTGGAGCTCTGGGCCCCGGCCAGCACTGGCCAGAACAGCAGCCTGATCCCCCCTCATGACTCCCCAGTCCTAGGACAGGCCATCTGGGCAGGGATTGGGACTGGTAAAGCAATCTTCTCCCTCCTGTAGTAGGCAGAATAATGGCCCCAAAGATGCCCATGTCCTAATCGCATAAAGCTGTGAATTTGTTACCTTACATGGAAAAAGGAACTTTGCAGATTTAAGGATTTTGAGATGGAAAGATTTTTATCCTGGGTTATTCAGGTGGGCTCAATATAATCACAGGGGTCCTTATGAGAGGGAGGCAGGAGTGTCAGAGAAGGGGATGTGATGGTGGAAGCAGAGGTCAAAGTGATGCCATTGCTGGAGGAAGGACCACGGAATACAGATGGCCTCTAGAAGCTGGAAGAGGCAAGGGAATGGATTCTCCCCTAGAGCCTTAAGAAAGAATGCCAGCTTGCCAATATCTTGATTTTAGCCTCTTAAAACTGATTTTGGATTTCTGATTTCCAGAACTGTAAGATGATACATTTGTGTTGTTTAAAAGCACTAAATTTGTGGTCATTTTGTTGTAGCAGCAATAGGACTGTAATAGGTCATTTTGTTGTAGCAGCAATAGAACTATAAGATGATACATTTGTGTTGTTTAAAAACACTAAATTTGTGGTCATTTTGTTGTAGCAGCAATAGGACACTATTACGGATTTTGGTACCCGAAGTGAAGTGCTGCTCTAACAAATACCTAAAAATGGAAGTGGCTTTGGAATTGGAATTTGGAAATGGGCAGAGATTGAAAGATTTTGAGGTGCATGATAGATTGCTTTGAACACTTTTCCTCTGAGCAGTGAGGTGGGTGGGGATGGGGGTGGGAAACCCTTCACAACCTGGAGACCTGAGCTGCCCAGGCTCCCTAGAGCTGACCCTTTCTTGGAGTGAGAGACTAGAAGACTGCCCAGGGTGGGACCCAGAGAAGCTGGCCCAGGCACTGGGAGCTGTGGGGAATGGAACTGGGATCAGGGGGAGAGAGCAAAGCTGGCCTCCATGGTCTATCTCCAGTGGTATGGGGGCCACCCAGGCCCTCAGAGGGGACCTCAGAGACTGGATCCGAGCCTGGTCCTGACTCCCATGGAGTCACGTGGCTGACCCAGCACCCCTGGAGTGTGTGATAATGAACAGGGTGTGAGGGTGAGCAGGTACTGTGCCTGAAATGAGTGCAGCAGCCCCTGACTCCAAGGTGATCCCTCCATGTAAGCCATGGAGGTTTGGCTCCTTTCAGCCCCCAGGCAGTGCCCAGCTCCTGCTACAAGCCTGTGCTGGGCTGTGTGGCTGGGCTAGAAGTGGGTCATTCCTAGGATTCTCAGCTTCATGATCCCCAGAGCTGAAGTGGCTACCTGGAACCTTCAACCCTATCCCTGATGTCAGCCATATTAGCCTTGGGTGTGCGGACAGATCTGGGTCTCATTTGAAGCCCTGATGGTAGTTGTGAGGAGAGCAGGGGTTCCTCTTTTCATCCCTCCCTGAGAGAACTGGTTATGCACCCTGCC